GCCCCTCCATTGGGTGGCCCCCACCTGTATGCGTGTGTGGGCGCATCCTCAATTGGGTGGGCCCCCTCTGTGCATATAAGGGAGGATAGTTTCTCCTGGGGCGCACCCTCCATTGGGTGGCACCCCTGTGTGTGTGTGTGAGGGCGCACTCTCCGGTGCTCAAAGCTCCAGGCCGTCCCGTTTGACATTAGAATTTGTTAGACCGAATGGAGGAGTGGAGAAACAACAAATAACATGAAACGATGACAAAGGAATTAAGAAACAGGTAGAGAAGAGGAGAGGAAATGCGGTGAGTGTACGATGACAACTGACCATCTTGATCAGCTAAGTATCATTTTATTTGTATTAATTACAATTTCTATAGTAGTGATGAACAAATCATCTGTGTCTTTGTTTTTTAAAAATTTTTTAACTACAATTCCTCTTGTCTTTACTTTTCAGTGAGGAGAGAGGAAGTGGCGGAGGGCAGATGAAGTGTGAGACCTCTCGTGCATGGTAAATATAAATTTATCTAAAGATGTTAACGATTTTATGTAGTCATCGGTTCCCACTTCACTTGAATTTTAAAAAAAATTTCATTTTGTCTGACGTTTTTTTCTTTTCAGGAGTACGCATAAGTGTAAGGAGCGCTCGACACAATACTGAGCGAGCGAGTAGATGAGAAAAATGAAAGGAAATGAGTAGGAGACAGGCCAGTGAGCCCCAAGGCTGTGTTGACTCATCTATGACTGCTAGCCACGTTATGCGCTTATCTGACTGGCCGTTCTCCTGCCTACTCACCTGCCCATCCTGCTCCTTTTAGCCTCCACTGCTCAACCCTGGTTGGACCACATCAACCCCACTGACTTTGTCTTCCTCCATCTGCTTACTTTCTGTAATAAAGACTCTTTTTGCTATCACTTTGAGTTTGCACCCTGTGTCCTCATTCTCTCTCTCTCTTTCACCTCCTGGTGAGACACCAACCCTAACAGTTTCCTCTCTCTATCCACTCACCCCAGAGATTTTTGTGAGTTGGCAATAAACAAATTGTATTGAACTGGTCATGCCAGCAAAGCTCAGTTTTTACTTGCTGCATAATTTTACAAAATGGCATGACCTTTTATTTAAACACTTGTTACAAAAGAGCTCAGGGGGTGTAGGGTACAGAGCACTCTTTAGGTTTTTAGAGAGTACCGGACTGAGTAAGATAATATACACTGCGAGTTTATTTTATTTTAGTAGTAGTAGATAGGGGACATTGTGATCCACACTCCAGTCTAGAATGTGGCGATAATGCACCTAAATGCTCACTGCAGGCTGTGGGGAACTGCCATTTCCAGTTATTTTTTTCTTATCTTAAAATTTGTTGGCTGTAACTGTAGCCCATAATTTTGGGGAGTTGTTTCCTAATTCACCTAAAACACTAACAAAATGCATGGAAATTTAGCTTTGTTCTTTAAAACAGAACTGTATGTACATAAAATAATATAATAAATAATATAAAATGTTATAAAAATTACAGCCAGAATATTAAATAAATATTAAATAAAATCCATATAAAAGGATGAGATCCTGGCTAAATTAAGTAAACGTCTTTTATTACTAACATAAAATGTATCACCAGTTAACTTTTTAGCTACTATAGAGAAAAGACTACAATTGACCCCAGAATGCATTTCGCTGGCTTTATTTCTACTCTTAAAAACATCCGTGCGCGCAACGGAACGGTACATTCGATGGTGTGTGATCGTTAGTATCATTTTATCGGTTTCATATATCACAGAAGTGTCCATATTTGAAACGAAATAAAAATCGCCCTAGAATATATTAATAGTTTAATTCACGCGGTGTCGCAACGTCTTCCCACTGGCCAGGGGCTGAACCGACTTCACCGGGGGAATGTTGACGATGTAACAACAGGCATGAGAACGAGCAGGCGCTCGCATCTTTCTTGACTGTGAGTTTGTTTTAGCTTCAATCTCAGACAAATTATTCATCCTTTATTCGTCATTAATGAGTTGTAGAGGAGCCAGTGATGATGACAGCTGCAGTAAACGGAGAGTCGCTTATGTTTACAGCCAAGCGTACATCGAGACTTGTGACACTTTATCCAAGGTGCCAAACCGGGTGAGCTGGATCAAAGAAGAAACAGTTTCCTATTTTTCTGTTAATTTGTCAGACGTTTTTTTAACGAGTAGGTTTTCTTTTTCCATGTCCAGGCGAGTATGGTCCACTCACTGATAGAAGCCTATGGGCTGCTTGAACATATGAGGTGAGTAAACAGTGCTAATGAGATTAGAACAAGTTAGCTTCATATGTTGCCCAGAAGCCGTTTGTTTCACTAGTTGGCTGCGGTGGGATGCTACCATACTTAGCTGCTAACTATTTTCAGTCAGGTATTTTTCATAGAGTATGTTTTAACAAGAAAAGGCTCCGTTTTTTGAGTAATGTAAGTAAGTTCGATGGTTTATGTGCAGGCTCGCTGTAGACGCTTTCACTGAAAGTGTGTGCATTGACAGGAGCTGGTGTGTTTGAGCTGAAAAGCAGCTGAAGTCAGATCAAGTGTAGTGGCTTCGTTCATGTTGAAGCCCTGTGCACAGGTGAATTATCAGTGTATGAAAGCACTGAGGATAGCTGAATTAGCAGTTGAAAAGTAGCATCAGAAAGCAGCTGAGACATCAGTATAAGAGATGGAGGAAGCTGAAATGTCAGTCAGTGGTGCTTGGTATTGACAAATACCTGAATAAAGAAGTAGACATAAAATATGCAGAGTCCACTGATTAAGCTGTGAATTATTTTCTTGATTATTTGATTTATTTTTGCTTGCAGAATGTCAAAAATTTGTGACATCCGCCCTTTTTTCAGCATTGTGAAGCCTCGTGTGGCTACCATAGAGGAAATGGCCAAGTTCCACACAGATTCCTACCTGGACCATCTTCATAAAATCAGCCAGGATGGTGACAACGATGACCCCCAGTCAGTCGACTATGGCTTGGGTGAGAAATGCCAAGAGTCATTTTACTGGCCTCAATCACTTACAGACATTTATCATTGGAATCTGTTAATTCCACCCATGTTAAATGTTAATTCATCTAAACAATCTACTAGAGCGTCCATTTAAAGTCTACCTATCCTGGGCACCAGGTTGGGATTACTAGAGAACACTTGCAAATGCATTTCATCATTTAAGAGGCAGGTATTCAGAGTTTAGTGTTGAAAAAAAAAAACAGGTGATTTTTCTTTTCTTTAAAAACATTTTTCTGCATTTTGGTCTTAAGTAGATGGTTATTGTAGTGAGGCAGGACCACCATAATAGAGGGATTAAAGTGCGTAGGAGTTTATTTTAGAATTCTTATTATCTGTTTGCTGTCAGCAGAGGCCAGTGTGACACCAGGCTAAAAAAGTTGCCTTCAGTTAAAAATATAAATGTGTGTTCGACTTTCCTGTCCTATTTTTGAGACAGCAATACATGTTATAATATCTGGAATATTTGCAGTTGGTTATTTGACTTTATCTATCTGGTTATAAGTCCAGCTATCTCAGAGATTTACACTTAATCTTTAGGCTCTTGAAGTTCAACCTTCTTAGTTTTATTTTCTTCACACATCCTCTGTCTCTCTCCTTTCCCTCACCTTCCTTCACCTTCTTTCACCTTCACTCTTCTTTATGTCCTCCACTCTTCCCTTTGTTAATTCCTGCTTTTGTATTCTGCACATTTCTCTCTGATTCATCCTTACATCCTGTTACAAATGTTAAATGCCCCACCTTTTCCTGGATTAGGACCTTTCTCCTCTCAGTTTGTCATTGAAGTATTTGGTTGTTTTCCAGTGATCACATCCAAAAAACTCCCTTATTTCTGTCTTCCTTCCTTATTTTTCTTTTCATCTCATTTCTCATTCTTCTCTCATCACTTTTCTTTAAAGTCTTCTGTAAGGACATGAATAAGACAAAGACAAAATGTTTCACAGAGTATCAAGATGGAATAAAAATATTTCCCATGTGTACCTGATCATGTGATTTATATTCCTGTTGTATACTGTATGCTCAAATGCAGTTTTTTGCCATTATTATCCGTTACTCTATAGCATATTAATGTTTTTCATGTCATTGGTAAATTGTAAATGGGTTTACATAGCACTTTTCTATGCTTTCTGCAAACTCAAAGTGCTTCAAATTATATTTGCCCATTCACACACACTCATACAACCACACAAATGTGTGTTCGACTTTCCTGTCCTATTTTTGAGACAGCAATACATTTTATAATATCTGGAATATTTGCAGTTGGTTATTTGACTTTATCTATCTGGTTATAAGTCCAGCTATCTCAGAGATTTACATTTAATCTTTAGGCTCTTGAAGTTCAACCTTCTTAGTTTTATTTTCTTCACACATCCTCTGTCTCTCTCCTTTCCCTCACCTTCCTTCACCTTCTTTCACCTTCACTCTTCTTTATGTCCTCCACTCTTCCCTTTGTTAATTCCTGCTTTTGTATTCTGCACATTTCTCTCTGATTCATCCTTACATCCTGTTACAAATGTTAAATGCCCCACCTTTTCCTGGATTAGGACCTTTCTCCTCTCAGTTTGTCATTGAAGTATTTGGTTGTTTTCCAGTGATCACATCCAAAAAACTCCCTTATTTCTGTCTTCCTTCCTTATTTTTCTTTTCATCTCATTTCTCATTCTTCTCTCATCACTTTTCTTTAAAGTCTTCTGTAAGGACATGAATAAGACAAAGACAAAATGTTTCACAAAGTATCAAGATGGAATAAAAATATTTCCCATGTGTACCTGATCATGTGATTTATATTCCTGTTGTATACTGTAGGCTCAAATGCAGTTTTTTGCCATTACCCATTACTCTATACCATATTAATGTTTTTCATGTCATTGGTAAATTGTAAATGGGTTTACATAGCACTTTTCTATGCTTTCTGCAAACTCAAAGTGCTTCAAATTATATTTGCCCATTCACACACACTCATACAACCACACGCCACACTCACACACCAGTGGAACAGCCACCGAGAGCAGCTTGGGGTTCAGTGTCTTACACAAAGATACTTTGACATGTAGGCTGGAGAAGCCAGTTAGGCTCTTGAAGTTCAACCTTCTTAGTTTTATTTTCTTCACACATCCTCTGTCTCTCTCCTTTCCCTCACCTTCCTTCACCTTCTTTCACCTTCACTCTTCTTTATGTCCTCCACTCTTCCCTTTGTTAATTCCTGCTTTTGTATTCTGCACATTTCTCTCTGATTCATCCTTACATCCTGTTACAAATGTTAAATGCCCCACCTTTTCCTGGATTAGGACCTTTCTCCTCTCAGTTTGTCATTGAAGTATTTGGTTGTTTTCCAGTGATCACATCCAAAAAACTCCCTTATTTCTGTCTTCCTTCCTTATTTTTCTTTTCATCTCATTTCTCATTCTTCTCTCATCACTTTTCTTTAAAGTCTTCTGTAAGGACATGAATAAGACAAAGACAAAATGTTTCACAGAGTATCAAGATGGAATAAAAATATTTCCCATGTGTACCTGATCATGTGATTTATATTCCTGTTGTACTGTAGGTTCAAATGCAGTTTTTTGCCATTATTACCCATTACTCTATAGCATATTAATGTTTTTCATGTCATTGGTAAATTGTAAATGGGTTTACATAGCACTTTTCTATGCTTTCTGCAAACTCAAAGTGCTTCAAATTATATTTGCCCATTCACACACACTCATACAACCACACGCCACACTCACACACCAGTGGAACAGCCACCGAGAGCAGCTTGGGGTTCAGTGTCTTACACAAAGATACTTTGACATGTAGGCTGGAGAAGCCAGGGATTGAACCACCAACTATCCAGTTAGGAAACAACCTGCTCTACCTCCTGTGTCACAGCTGCCCCAAATAAAAAAGTATAGTAATAAAATAATGCTAATGAAATACATTCTAATACTATATAAACATCTGGTTAATCAAAATGGTCTTTCATACTTAGTTTTTGTCATGTTTGTTGCATTTTACTCCTTATCTCCCTGCAGGTTATGACTGTCCAGTGGTGGAGGGCATATTTGACTATGCAGCAGCGGTAGGTGGCGCTACACTGACAGCAGCTCAGTGTCTCCTGAACCAGAAGTGTGAAGTGGCCATCAACTGGGCAGGAGGCTGGCACCATGCTAAGAAGTATGACAACCAGTTTAATATATATAATATA